GTTTCGACGAGCAGCTTTTTCATTGTGACGCAAAGAATCCGACAGGTGCTCTGTTTTTGTGTGTATGACCTAACCCACCCTTTCATGTTCGATACAGACCGATCTCCTTTGAATAGGAGATGTCCGTGTTCACATGCGCGATCTCTACCAGTCAGGTAATACCTCGGATGGATGCCTGGTCTCAACGGACAAAAGCTTGTGCTTGTGCTGGTGGTGGCCTGCCGAAATGAACTTGCAACTGCCTTAGGCCATGAGCCTCTGATTAGGAACACATAAGTCTCAACAGTTAATTTGTATATCCTAATGGATGGCGGGCTGTTCTCAGCCTGCAGTTGAAGTAAGTCAATCGTGAATGCAGTCAGATTAATAAGGCTATCCACCAATAACAGCAGCGTGAGAACATGGAGCTAAAACGTGTCCTATTACATTCACACACTATGTGGCTATTTGCTGATTGAAATCCATTGCTAACAAGCCGGAATCTTTGATAGGAAACATTTCGAAAAGATACTTCACTCGTTAGGGTCGGATGTTATGTGCAGCGACTCTCCAGGTAGTTAGGTCAGATAATTTCGATAATTCTGTGGAGAAAACATAATAAGCAATATATTAAACTGAAGATTTCTCCCTGAAAGGCCATGAATTCATGTGTAGCTAATTCATTCCTGTTTGAAGTTATTGTTAGTCTGAAGTATGGTGGAAACTCAACCTTTCGCTCGTCCAAGGGGAAGGCAAACAGCGTGTTTTCCCGTTTACCCAACGCATTTTGGAAGGCGCAGCGAACGTTTGTTCAGAATTACCTCACGAACTGCTAAATGATCAACTGAGAATTCTTTCAGGATTCTACTTCAAATGGGTCACCGTATAAACTTCCCTGAACGTGGAGAATTGGTTTACACTCTACTTCTACATAGTGCAGACAACTACATCCATTAGAGTATATCGTCTGCGTTTCGCTTATCCCCATTCGCCCAAGTCTGTACGAACAGTATCTGTACATAGACTTTGCTAGTCTGAACTGTTGAAAAGTTAGCGCTTCATCCGAAGGTTAATTCAGGAAGAGTTTCGATTGCTGGTTTTATTGACATTTCAAGTTCACGTGTAAACAAGTGATGATTCGACAAAATGTAAGTGTGAACAGGCTTGCAGAGAAGTTAAATAAGTTCAAACCTTAAGTTTTTGGAGGCCAGTAAGACCACGGAGTATCGAGAGGTATCCGCGCCGGAGCATGAGGGAGTGTAGATGTGAACTTTTCGCTATTTCAGCCCTTCCTGACAAAATCTGCCAAAGATGGCTCTCGGAGCCTTGTCCGAATTTCTTGTAGATACTGTTCATCAATATGTGCATTTGACGCTACTCAATGAGCCTTTTGTTCACAAATATTAACGACAATTCTTGGATTACAGTCCTCACAAGTGAACTGAGACAGAATGGGATCTTTCTGTTCTTGCACATCTACAACATGTGGTGACGCGAGTGGAGCAGCTATATTTTGAACTGTTCCAAAATGAAGGTATTTTTCATCCTGTAAAATGGCTGTGTAGCGGTGATTCTACCAAGGTGACGACGCATCCGGATGCGTGATAATAGGTCACTAGTTAGGTTTGGAATTTACAAAGACCCGTTGCATGACTGGCTGGTGTGTTGGAATTGTTTGTTCCAGATACTCCACTTGCGTGCGGAGATGTCATAAGCTGGTTACAAACCAGAGCGGTTTACCTTATTGGGAGACTTACAAACTAGGATTAAACCCCGAAATATTCATAAAGCTCTGAATATCTTATTGTCACATGTTTGGGTTCACTAGAACGTTTTTGTTTGTTTGCTGAACGACTCGACATTCCTTTCAGATATCGTTTGGCACGGAGAAGTAAATTATCGTTATATGCTCATGTGCTATTCGCTCTGGACGCTTTACTGACCAGGCAGAAGGCATGCTGAGTTGCATTTAATCGAAATGAAAATATGGTGTGTTACATCAAGGAAATATACTGCGACATCTCGAATATCGTCTCGAATGAAACATGCAGCGGCAGTTATGCGGCACAGTTAGTTGAAGAACATCATACTGGAGAGACTCGACCCTCTCTCCTTAACTCCAAATTCGCATATGCAAGTATTTGTCCCATTTGCGTATAAACTAATGTTCACTTGGAACATAGGTTAAAGGTAACCCATGGTATGCGTCCAACTAACGAACCCAATAAGTGCGATGCCCGTAGCGGGCTGTTGAAGAGTCTTCAACAACTTTATGCTTTGCACATAGTTCAAGCACACACATGTTTTTCCTAACATCTGCTTAGGGTGAACAGAAGGGAGCCCCAAATTCTCAGAAAATATTTGTCAACCCCTAAACTAATTATTTAGTGTGCAGCTCCTCTTGGAATCACAAACCAGAAAACCTCCCAGCTTTGCTGGATTGTCCTTTCTGTAGTCAGTATCTTCTGGAGCTAAGTATTTCCTTAGTATCTATTCACAGTATCTTGTGCTGAGAATCTTCTTTATTTCTGCTAGTAAATGCCACACCCACTAGGTACAAAAACTTCCGATTTCTTTTTTTAGGCCGTGCTGGATTCCATAGCTGTAACCATTTTGGTAGGTGAAACATTTCAGGGTGTATTCAGTTAAATCTCCCTGTTATGGTGGTCCGAGAATCATCTCATATACGATTATCTGTTCCAGTAAGGCCCTCTGCGTAGCTGTGTCTCTAACGGAGTAAAACTGTTTCTGTTTGGTTATTGGAAAGTTTGAACTCCGAGAGAAGAGACTACTATAACAACTTTCATCCTCAAGGTATCCTTTCCCTTCTAATCTTATTCTAAAAGATTGTCAGCTGACGAAATCATATACTTCTTTTGCGTAGGATTAACCCATTATTTCTAATGGGAAAAAGATAGTTCAAAAATTGGTTCGCAAATTTTTGAAAATGAGCAACTTATCTTTGTGAGGTGTTGCAGAATTAGCTAATCCCTCGATGCCGAAAAGAGTGGAATTTTGCTGCTCCGGTCGAAAGCAGTCTTTGTGATGAAGTTGCTTTGGAATGGCACGTTGTGGACAGATTTTACTGCGCATAACGCTGGACTTAATAGTGTGTCTGAGTTGGAACAGTTTTACATGATCGTGATCCATTCCTTTGCTAAGAATACTTACAACTTGGCAATTTCCAAAAGACCATGGTAAACTTCTTTTTCGTATTTATGATTTTTCCAACCGGTTGCCGCCAATTGCTGTGAGTTTTCCAGAAAAAGCATCAGTGGACGTTGTAGTTGAAAAAAATTCGTGAACTGAGATCCCTATTCTGTATTGCTCGGTTCTGGTCTGGGCTGTCATATTTCTGTTGTCACCCACATAAAGGAAGTTCCTAAGGTTATGATCGCAACGGCCTGAGCAAGCTCGGCTGAAATGTTTGCTACTGAGATTGAACGAGAAAGCTCAATCTCCTGCATTCTCACAGATAACAACAGGTAACTACCGGCAGCGCTCAACTTGCTGGGATGTCAGTTTTCGACGTGTCCTACTGTCCGTCAAGCCCAACCTGGAAAGGTTCCCTTTTATTTTCCTCTACAGAGAACAAGAAAGCCATAATTTAGCCCTCGGTCTTATAAAGAATATTTCCCGCCTTTCTTTGTTAATGGGTGGATTCTGAAAATTTTTCGCTACTTACGTTTTGAAATGATTTTCATCTGCTTTTTTTCACCGGCGAAAGCGCTGTAAAACCCACTTTATCCGTTTAGTTATTGCTGGCAATGTCAACAATGCAGTCACTGTACAATTTTAGGGCTTCAGTAGCTAAGTAAACGTGAATCCAACTGGTGAACGCAAAATTTGAGCAGATTTATGCTTTGAATTGAATTCAGTGATCCGAAACAAGTTCGGTTAGTATACTATCTAGTTGAGCGTACCAGAAATGCTACCGATACTTTCACTTGAAGGTTTCACTTCAAAACAAAACCTAACCCATGGGAACATCAGACAAACGCCCCTGGAGATAGTAGCGTAATCCAAGTTTGGGAATGTCTTGAAATGCATTCTTTCAACCATTATCCCGATTCCCTTCCAACACAACTTTTTAATAGTCTCAAAACCCAATAAAACTGGAAAGAAAAATGTTTTAACACAAACTTCGATGAATTCAAGATCCTGTACAGATCGGCTAAATTAACAAAATGGGATTTATGTTCTCCCATCTACGTCAAAAACATCAGATTAACAGGGAATGGGTTACGACAACTCTGATCAACACTTATGATCAAACTCTGAATTCACTCCCATCTGCACGCTTTTGCTAAGGGTAGAGGTAGGGTGAGGAGACGAGCTCTCAACCACGCATGGGGGTGAGAGCGGCGCACCTCCCTCTACTAGCTCAGTCGGAATGTAGAATCGTCCGTGGGAATTAGCCAATCGGCTCTCGAGATACACATAACTGTTGAGCGGCTCATCAATCTTTTGGTCCGACTCAGAACGAACGTGAACCTGGGAATGCGTCCGCTCTTCCCCTCGTGATAAACCCTACTCTAAAGCAATTTACGCCGACCAACCAGTTTGCCTAGATTTTCGCATGGCTAACAGAATTATACAGAATGTTGATCGTTGATCATTCTTTGTCTACTGGCATGATGTTTCGTTCGTATACAGTGGGAACTACCGGACAAGTTAACATAAACGAGTGTTTCAAGCTCGTACCCAGTCAGGTTTGCTATCTGTCACCAGAAACTCAAATACCCAAAAATTGGCCATGCCCTGATCAATTTTCGCACTATTTGGTGAATTTTTCGCATATTTTGAATGGAACTCCAAACAAGAATTCACCCAACTGGGAAACAACTCTGCCGCTAACTGTCAACGAAATTCCAACTGCCTATCCTGTTAACACCATGACAGCAACGAATGTAGCGCCAAGTAAGGCAAACCAAGGCCCTTCAGATGCCCAGAGATACCGCAAGAGAGAGATTTTTTCAACGGAAACGGGTAGCTCGTCGAATGTTAGTCTTCCTTCCCCGATGATCCTTCCTTCCCTCGATTTTCCTCAAAGCGCCTACTGGATACCGGATGAGTCACATCTCAAGAGATCACGACGAACCATGGTTCGTCGTTCGACCTCGACTCGCCCAGTCCACAGCCAAATGGATGTTCTGGAGGAAATGAAAAAAATTCCAAACCTGATAGGTGACTACGTTTGCCAGCTGTGTTGCAAATGGTTTCCTAATGCACTGGCCTTGGCAGACCATCCTTGCTCAAGGATAGCCTGCGTAACCTATCCATGTGGAACTTGCGGTAAGGTAAGACTCTTCTTGAGGGAAATTCGATTTGAGCCACATAAGCTAATTGATTTCTTCGATCTTGAAAAAGGCTGTCACGTCTGATAGAAATTTCACCATCCATATATGACTCCGGTAAACTATGGAGATTGGATTATCGGATAAGTTGTCCTAAGGCTGGCAGAAATGACCATCTTAAGATGTGTAGCTTGCATCACTATGTCAAATACAGATGGTGCCATCTTACTTTCAGGGTTTTTGGAACGATTTAGGTTAGATATTGAACTATGGCTTAGGATAAAATTTGTATTTGTTGTTCTATTGTTGAATAACTGGTCGGTAAGTTAGTATCACCATAACATCAACCATGCACTCCATCCTTTAAAGTCAGGAAACAACGCCGAATTTCTATCAGTATTTCACTTTGTGAGAAATTGGTGGCTTACAACACTTTCTAAAATGCCAGCTTCTCTTGAAACGACCATTTTCCGATAAAGCACAACTTGGCAATAGAATACTCTTAGCTAGTGCATCCTCAATCCCTCGTTTAATAGCAGAAAGTTTTCGCGTTCCTTTAATCGGTCATGTACCTTCAGAGACCCACCTGACAAAATTCAGTCATGAGAATCCTCATTACGGATGGGGTTTTGTACAAACTACTTCTTCATGATATAGAAATCTGCGAAAAATTAGATATGACTGGCTTGATACGGATTCCCTATCGGTACTAAAACATGTTCTGTCACAGTTTCTAAGTTATGTAGTTCCGATGTGAAAACAGTTGAAATTCCACATACTGTCCACTGCAAATTGGTGACTTGTGACAGAATGAACGATTAACGTTGACAAACTTGTAAGCCCGTCAACCATTCCTTCTCATTGGAAAAAAGTGTATAGATTTTCTAGTTTCTGCTAAACCAGGACAGGGTTTTATTTGATAAATGTTAACCGCTTTTTGCAGGATCATAAGGTGTCTGTACTGCAAGCCTCAAAATTACTGTAGCTCATCTGTGACGATCGTTGTTTGCGATTGATTTTAGGTATTCAACTGTCCCGCCAATCTAGCCTCCCATAGACGGTGGCATCGGCCAACATCGGGTCAGTCACAAAAATCCAAACAGACTCTCGGTGTCTCTACAGCTGAAATCTCAAATCATAATCGACTGGAAATCGGAAAACCAAACGAGTGCACCAAAGAACGTCAGTCCAACATTTATCGAGATCCGCAGCGTGGTGGGATGAATTCTTGTGAATGTATAAATATCTCCTTCAAAGCCAACAAACCCTTCCGTTTGGAGCGTGATAAGGTCAAACCTGTTGATCCGTTCTCTGTAGAAGCCTTACTTGCATGACAATTATTCAGAATGTCACGAATAAAACTTTGAAACCTCCTTTGTTCTGAATGATTATCTCGCCGTAAACGATAAATTTCTCTCATTTGGTATTCGGGTCATCCATTGATCGGAAAGACAAATGTACCAAAATGGAGCATTCCGGTAAACAAACAAATCCTGGGAATATCTATTTCGTCAGTCTTACTTGTACACGTTGCATAATAACTTGAAGCTAATTCACAGTGCCTGACCGCTTGCATTCTAGACGAGATGTGGCAAGACAACCAACAACTAGAGAACGTAATGTTGATGGAAACTTGGTGGTCACACCTATTCAATGAGTGCTTAGAAGAGCAAAACTAGTAGTGGACTAGCCAGGAGATTTCAGCAATCTCATAAATGGCGTTTTACGTCGACAAAAATTGATCGACAAAAATTCACAGGGTAACTGTGGCATCATCCAATCGACGGCGCAATTGCGCCAGGCCATGGGTTGCGTTGCTTACGTAAGTTACCGATTGCAGTGGTGGGTAACGTATGACTTGTAAACTAGTTTTATCGCGGACCAAGTGGTTACGCCTTTTACCCCCTACGATCGTTCGATTACAATCGTTTGGTTTACAAAATCATTGAGCGTAATTCAATGTGAGTTTAATTTGACTAAAAAAACTAGACCACCTCTAGTTGCACCACTTACGTAACAGTGTCTGCAAAAATTTGTCGAAAACCGAGGAAAACTGTCTTTTTATTTTAATGAGATCAGGGTGAAAAAATGTTAAGCACAAGCATCATTTAGGAGGAATTTTAAGAACTACAAGAACAAATGTGACCTCATTCCACTTGGTGAGATGCTTTTTACCGCAGAAAACCTAAGTGCTTGCTGACCGCTTAGGTAATAGCGGACACCGAGTAATCGAAAACTGAAATTCTTGCGTTACCTATTCACGGGGAAAACGCTATCGTATGTATGCAATGTGGAAACAACTCTCGAAGTTGTCGGTCTCCAGCGAGTGTTCTTTTCTGGTCAGCTGTAAACTGAGTCAGGCAGTCTGACTGCTCGCGATTAGTCTGAATATTATCCTCACGGGTTCTTCTTGAAAATCTGTTGAGTACCAGGAGATGCGGAATCAATGTTTGGGGGATCAGCCGGTTGTCTCACTGAAGAATCCAATCAAAAGATTCAACCACAAGAGCTCTTCGGCTCCTTTTGGGACGTATCAGATGGTTTAAGTTGGGATTATCCTCGTGACGACTGTCCACTTGCCTAGGGAAGTTGTGTCCAATGGCTGAAGTTGCACAGCTGGAGTGTAGGACAGATTTGTTTATATGTGGGTAAAAATGGCCACTGATCACAGAAATATCAATGAACCTTGGGATCTAATGACGCTAAAGTTTGAATTTAAGTAGACGAACTGACAACGGAGTCAGCGGTGCAGAGCAACCCTTCAGGCTGGATCTTGACAGAAGCCGTTGTCAGTTTAGGACACCGCACGCGAGACACGTTTGAAGTCATGAAAAAGTATTGGGATCAGTTGGTCGGATTTTATGTGGAGTAAAATTCTACCGTATTTGAAAGAGGCCAACAGTATTAACAGGTCAGAAAACGAAACCTCTGGGTACTTATTTACTAAGGTATCCCTATTGCAAACGAAAGAAAACGTGAAAAATCCTACTAGAACCAACTCTCAGATAGCTTATGAAGGTAGACTAAACCGGGATTGAAAGCGCTGGTCGGCCAACGCTAACTGACTTGGCTGAAGTTGTTTTAGACTGAAAATTTGATGAACAAACGCGTTTTGCAACTTTGCGATCCGGTCAAGTATGTGGAGCGTTCCCCATAAAGTTTACTTAACCAAGAGACAGACTTTAAAAACTACTATTTTCGACCTGCAAAAAATAAACGTAATTCAATCGCGTTTGTCCTAATGAAAATAACGCCATGGTGAAGATCAACTGGATATCCCTACCCAATAGTTGAATCAGATTTGCTGTTCAATAGGTTTTATAAAAAACATTCGGAAATGAGCCAATAAACTTAAGTGTCGCCAGTGTGTCTTCGCATGGAACACTCACTGAGTATAAAGCACTGACTCGTTTCAATTCTTCGGGGTATGCGTAAGCTGATAGCCACTGTCGAATGATTTTCGGAAAATTATTCATCTCTGAGTGTTTTCGTCGGAAGCTCAGCGGCAATTCACAATGATCGGAAGCGAAGAACAACAACTAGGTAAGTTGTGGAGTTCGCTGGGATGAATTTTAACAACTGACCCCTTTGAATGACTACAGATTGTTGACCAAGCGTCTTAATTAGTTTTCTCCCCCCAAGCTGTTTCATCACCTTTTTACCTCAAAAATAACTAACAAGCCTTGTTGTTATCTCTAAAATGCCCTCACCTTAATGCAGCCATCATTCCCTGAGGTTTCACAACTTTTTTGGTACACTTCACTAAATGTAGGATCTGTGGTTCTTCCTGCGCGTCAGTTATAAAAGCGATGTACTGGTACCTCCACTGTTGCATTAAAGGTGCTTTTGGACGCGCCAGCAAGGGTGAGAGGTCCTGTGAGTGCACGTAATTGGGATACCATATCTGTTAGGTTCTACGACAACAGTTGATGCGATAGGACAGAACAAAATGCCGGAAAAATTAATAAACTGTGATCGCTTGCATAAAACACTGGATTAGGCAATGTGGAGACTCGCTGCTCTAGAGAATTCCGTTTTTCCATGAGTTACTTAGTGGCCAAAGAGGAAACATTTCCCGGATACACTAAGTGACTGTCAACCGAGTGCGCCGCATGCAGGTATAAGACCTCTGGTTTTCAAGCAAAAACAGTCTCCTTTTTCAAGTTGTTATAAATTTTATTTTCCTGAGGAATGCAAAGAGTATGATCCACTATATGAAGCTGCAGGCCCTTGGGAGGTTCCGGTGGAAAATGTAACTTGATGGAAGCTCTTGTTCACCCCGAGAAGCAAACTAGTATCTCCGAATCGGTTACTCACAGTGACAGTCAAAGGTCGATGATTATAAACGGGTTAATTAGAAGTCGATCTCTGGTGAGGGTATCTGACACTGATAATTTGATTCAATACACTTTACGCGCACTAAGCTTTGGGGGCAGCGATGAATTTCATATACATAGGGATTTATTTGATGGGCGGAAAGGGAAACCCCGAAGGACGTATCGGATACACCTCAATTCTGGAGAACCTTATCCATCGTTACATAAATAGTGAACTAATAGGTAACTCTGGGTTCAGCGTAAGAATGTAATGAAAAATGCGGCCTGTGGTCGAAACGAGAATATTGGGTAGTCGCTTCCGGTAACCAGCGTTGTCACATCAGACGGTATCAAACAGGTTTTACGTGGTTGCCCGTCAACCTCTCTTCCTTGGGTTTATACCCGCATCAAGGTCTTCCACATAGCAACATAGGTCGCACAGGACAAACCGTGCTATACAAAGTCTGCACGGGTATCCAACGTTTCAAACTTCGTTCACGGGTACATCCAACTTGCACCCCAGCCACTTAGTTTCACCATTCAAGGGGGTAATTTGCTTCGCAGGGAGTACTTTGAGCAGACATTTCAGAATTAACTTTTATGAATAACCTGTACACTTCACTCAAAAAGCCGATGGTTAAAAATCGTCGTCACCAGTTGATAAAAAAGGCACCTAGAAGGCGGAATACGCTTATTTTCAAAGCACTATAGTGTCCACGATTTACTCGACTGAGTCCTTTGTTAGTGACATTCTTTACCTGAGTCTGTTACACAACCGGTTATCGAGCTAATTTCAAGCCCATTATCAAGCTACTTTCTCTGTCATGATCACGGAATGCTTTTCGGCTTTCTTGACATAGCTAACTACGTACAAATTTGATGGAAATCCTTTAACTGCTGGTTATTCGGAAAGGTCCTTTAGAGCTTTATATACCCCTTGGTTTTACCAACAATACGTCAAGTCCTGGGTTTATCTGGGTAATCCTTAGAAGTTCCCTGAGACAAGAGCGAACTTTCCGGTATCGCTTTTGATATGGAGTTTTCCTGAAAGATTGCTATTTAGTTCTTTGATGAGACTGGTCAACTGGCCGATGATAAAGTTTCCTCGTTATTGACAGTCGTGCTAAACTTAAGGGGAACTGTGCGGATTCACAATGATCTGCGAGTGTAACCCGTTTGTTTCACTTCGTGTGGTTCACCCACAGTTTGCACAGCTGCTAATTTCTCGAAGGGATTCACACTAGCTCAGGTTACCTTTTCACACCGCTACAATAAAGCACCAGGTCAGATCACTTCGACCAGCGTGCCGTCTCCTTTGGAAAGTTTGGGTCACCTCATGGCTGGTAAATAATGAAGAGTGATGAGTAAACACTGGAACAGGAGCAGAACGAGAGCGAGATTGAGTTACGCTGTCCACAATCAGTTTATTAGTAACGGCACGTGTGTCCGCTGCAAACGAGTCTAACACAGCTCAAATTTAACCTTAAGCATCCTAGTCCATACCTATTGGTAGACTAAAATCCAGAGTGAGACCACGGACATCATAGACAGTCAATATCACGAAATAAGACGTTAAAAGATTCATATCAGAATGTGTTTAATCACACACAGGGGTTTACCAATTAGCACCTATATTTTCACCCAAGTAATCTGTTAACAGCAAAATAGCGCAGAATCAGTTTATATCTACATTCGCACATAAAAACATTTTGAATACCCAACTACTGTGTCGACATGATGTGAAATAAAATTGTTTATTACAGCAGAGAAGCCTGCAAACAACAGCCGAGTGTGCTTTGAATTTTGCGTTGATAATACTTGTTTGGTGTCCGTGACCACTGTTTGTTCAGAAGGACGTGAATTTCAGATAAACAGCAGCTTATCTTCATCAAACATTGTACTGTTCGTGCGGCCGAGTCAACACACCATCAAAATGGTTGAATAGAAACAGTCGGTATTTGTGACTTGAAGTAGAAATACCCCTTCTCATCCTCCGGTTCACTGCTAATCTATCCCAA